AAAATCACCAGTTATTTTTAGTTAATTCATATCCGTGAATTCAGCCTACTCTAGACATTCTTCACACATGTAAATATGTATGTACGCAACAACTCACAACTCTATATGGGTAATTATGTTGACATGAGAGGCCCAATAAATATTACAATCTCCCAGGAGTATTGTTGATTACGCATTGTTTATCAATTGTAAGTGAACACGAAAATATACATACGCGGTAAAAACCCAACAGTAAAGTTTCAGACGCGTTGCAAGCAGTATTAGTTTGCTACTAGTTTAAATATAGCAGGCAGACAGAAGTTACTTAAAATAATTATTTAAACAAAATAACATTTTCACAATCATTGTTTAAAAATTATACAATAAAAAATTAAATTAAATTTTGAAATAAATAATTTTAATTAAAGATAATTAAGAACTGATTACTTAAAAAAATAAATTCATTACAAATTAAAAAAAAAATTAAATTAAAAATTAAGTACTAAAAAAAGCTTATTTTCTCTTATTTTTTTAAAAGTTACCAAATAAAGTATACAAGTTATTTTATTTGCATATAAAGGCACACTATGTGGACAATATTTGATGAAAATTTGAATGAAAAATAGCATAAGTTAAGGCGTTGGCAGTGTCGTGAAGTAGATCGTCCACAATAAAGTGCTTTGAAGGTAGTCATGATAAATTTTCAATTTTTTATCTCAAATCAAAATTCCAAATTTTTTCGTATAGTAGGTGAGTTTTCCTTGTCCTAGAACGAAGTAAAATTAAAAAAGTTAAAAATTGAATTTTTTGTAGCGTGTTTTTTTACAAAAAACGTCATTTTTTGCATAAAGATAGGCCACATATTGGCTGGTAAAATGAGTTGAAATCAAAGATTAGATAAGTCCTTAGTTCAGGAACTACAAAAACATGCTGAAAAGAAGTGTGGAAAATTGGAACTCGATCGCTTCAATAGTCATTGAGAAATTTTGACTACCGATTTCGATAAAGCAGTTTTAAGAAAAACGCGTATAAAGTTTCGCCATCGGTCTAGCCATAACAAGGACGGCGGGTTATTAAACTCCCTAATTTCTACAGATTCGTCTCGGTCCACTTGAAGCTTTGGGAAAATATTCCAGACACTTTGTACTGTCATACAAAAAATTATCAAAAAAATTAATATTTTGAAGTTTCAAAAAATGCAGCTGAAGCGCATCGAATGCTCTCAGAAACTTACGGTGATGCTGCTCTGAGTTAAAGAACGTGTCGGGAGTGGTTTCAATGGTTATTTCGATGGCGAAGACAAACTAAGTTATGATTTGTATTTGGTGGGATCAGCTCGGTGTGATTTACTACGAGCTTTTGAAACCGGGTGAAACCATCACAGGAGATCGCTACCGAACGCAACTTATGCGCCTTAGTCGCGCGCTAAAAGAAAAGCGGCCACAATATCAAGAGCGACATGACAAAGCCATCCTCCAACACGACAATGCCCGGCCTCACGTCGCAAAAGTGGTCAAAAAGTACTTGGAGACGCTGAAATGAGAAGTCTTGCCCCACCCGCCGTATTCCCCAGATGTGTCCTGGCAGATCAACATTTTCAATCCTTCGAAGAATTGGAAAAATGAATTGCTTCATTGATAGCGTTAAAAGAGGACTCCTTTTTTCGAGCTGGGATCCAAAAATTGCCGGAAGGATGGGAGAAAGTTGTCGCTAGCGAAGGACAATAATTTGAATAATATATCTGCAAGCACTTTTTCGCAATAAAGCTTTTAATTTTTCTGATTATAAGTAATCTAATTCTTTTCTAAGAAAAAAAAATACTAAGTCCCGGTTTTAAACTGAACTAGTAGCTTATTTGCTTATTTTGAACTAGTACGAGGCTAGTATAGAATGGATAAAATCAAATACAAATGTCAGCTCTTAGCATACTATACGGATCAAAGTGCTGTTACAAATATTAGTAAAATCAGCTTCAGCTGGAATTTCAGGTCACACTGTTGAGAAAGTAGTTTGTAACTAGTTCACTTGACAGCATTGGTATTCTACGCGCGCATACTTATTAATTTTTTTTGCAAATTTTGTATCTGTTTGTTTACTTACAATGCATATGATTTTTAATTAAATTCTGAGGTAGCCCCCAACAAATAATCGAAAGTGGCGGTCAACTTAACAGGCAGTCGAGGTGGCGGGAGTGTTCTGATTTCATGGTGGGAATAATAAAGTGATTTACTCCTACATATGCTTGTATGTCTGAGCGTATGTATTGTATGTGCATAAATATGAGCGCAACAAATAAATGGATGAGCGTTTGAATGTGAAAATATCAATGCAATATGTATGTATATGCATATGCATGTGTATGTGTATTGCATACTCATATGCACACACTCCCAACACATTGCTCGAGTGCTGCACTTGAATGTTACTTCACATATTTTCAGTTTTATACATTTTCAGCATTCCGGCGTTTCAAAAATGCGCAAAAAAATATGAGAAATGTATGAAACTGTAAAAACAGCAATAACAAAATTCACATGTGTTTTCCCCATAGCAAAATATGTCACGTTTTTAATTAAATGCCACAATAAAAATAACCATCGAAATTTTTCAACTGTTTTTCCGCGTGTGCTTATGAGAGTGTGTGCGTGTGTGTGTGTGTGTTTAACATAGCGGAAGTGTCAACGTACGTACGTGAGACTGCCTGCCATTGATTGTTGCTGTTTATTTATATTATGGTCAAAACAATTAATAATATATACGGACTTTTTTTGTTTTTTATTAATTTTTTTAAATAGCACAACGAAGAAGTGCAAGCAAAGTCATAAAAAATGTGTTAAATACAAATTTTCCAAATATTATGTGGATGTAAATGTGAGTGCGAGTTAAGTGATTTCTGTAAAACACCTGTTGCTAGCCAAATTATTGAAGTTTCAGCTGCCACCTTTTGGATAAAAATTGAAGTTTTAGAGAATTGTCATCGATATATTAGGTCTAGGAAAAATTAATCCAATATTTTTATTTAAAACTATTAAAGGCTTTATTTACCATAGTTAAAAATATCTCATCTCTTTCATATATGCACCATTGGTCCAAGCTGAGCTTTTCTTCATTCAGACGATCCAACTGCATTGCAAGCAGCTCATACTGAATGATTCTTTGACAATCCCACCAGACACACAATAAAATCTTCTTTCATTTTACGGCCTCATTCGAAATTCGTGCTCGATGGGTAAGAGCAGATTTCTTCGTGTATCCCAGAGGATTATTTAATATTCGCGATGCAGCCATTCCATGCAAGCCCAATTCATTTGGAATCATTTTTTGTGTCAATCGTTGGTCTTCGTCAATTTCTGACTTCACCGGCGCTACAGTGACGTCATCAATGGAAGATTTTGGTAGACCGTCTTGAGGCAAGTCCTCTACGGAAAAATGTCCGGTCTGGAATAGTCTCTAAAAACGGTCCAATCGTTCCATATGCCATTTAGCATTTACTGAGTAACTGTATTGGCTATAAGTTGCGCCGAAACACGAAGAGAATCACAAGGCGAATTTCTATTTGCGTTGGTGGTGGAGTTTCAACTGACCTATCCTTAGCTATCTTGCGTTTTGTCGTCTCCAATTTAGCCGATCATCATTCATCAACTTGAAAAGGAGACTCATGAAGTAATTGCAAGGGATCTGGTGTTTTTAAATTTAATAAAAGCAAATTGAAAGTTAATCCTCTTGTATTTAATGCAAAAGTAATGGAAGACTATTTACTTGACCAATGTTTATATTATCAGACAGCCACAAAACAGTCCACAACTTGAGTAATGCTTGTATCCAGTTGTAAGAAAAGAATGATTACCTTATACGTAATTTTTCATTGTTTTACTCTTAAACTGATTTTCTTGCAAAACTTTTTATGGAGATTTAAAAAAAAAATAAAAGAAAAACATAAAAACTTTAATTTTTTTTATGTTTTTGTTGATATAACTTTTTTATACTTTTTGATTATAATAAAGTTATTGCTCAACATGATCATATCAATCAGAAAATATATTTTCAAAATTTCGCATAAGTATATTTCCTTGTAATTTCCCCAATCCCTGAAGTTTTTCACTAAAAACTAAAAAAGGCATTAAAATTCATTTTGCATGTCCACGTTAATATTCATACAGTTTAATTGAATATTTCTCTAATTAATTTTCATTTCGTAAAACAATTTCCAAAACAGAGCCACTTGTGACAAATTAAGTAATTTCCATTTACTTATTTAATGCCTACAGCCAGACCAAGTGCCAACTGAGTTAGCAAAGTTAGATGTGCAACCATAATTGGTTGCGTCAGTGCATAAGTCACAGTGTTACATAAACTCCGCACCACACATGCATACATACACTAACACCAATGTGCAAGGTAAAGTTTATGCGAAGCAAACTCTCCTTAGAAGCGCATAACTTCATATGTACACGTATGTATGTAAGTATGTGTGTGCGTTTAACTTGAATGTCATATGCATAATGTGTCTTTCTATGCAACTAACTTACCAAGAGGATGTATATCTGTATGAACATATATATGTGCATAGCAATGTTCATTACTGCGCTGCTCTGCTCTGCTCTGCTCTTGCGAAATATCATTTACACCTCAAGTGCGCCTTAGCGTATACTACCCGCTGCGGTTATTGAAGAGTATTTAGGTGTAGCTGGTTTGGTATCTGTCTGTGCGAATGTGTGTAAGTTTGCTCTCGTGGTTGCTGTGAGTTACACAGCTTTGGTGCTGAGGTATGTGTATGTATATATGTGTGTAGATGTGTTGATTTGTTTGCATATGCTCCTCTGGTGTAAGTAAGATAAATGCCAGTGCCGCTAATTGAATTGATGCCAAGATTTTCGCTTGAAATAAATTTTCACACATTGGCATTAAGAGCTTTTCTATTTAGGTAAAGCAAGGTGATCTTTTGGACATTTCTTTGTTGCTACAAAGCAATTTACAGATATGAGCTGTTAAAGAGAAAATTGTTTTATTTTTCATTAAATTCATGAATTACCATTACCATTACAACAACTATTATAATGACCAATTCCAATTCCTTTGCCATTAAAATTACCATTACAACTATTATTATCATTACCAATTGCATTACTAATACTATTACCATTACATCTACCAATATAATTACCATTACAACTTCTAATTGTATTACCATTACTTTTACCATTACAACTATTATCATTAGCATTACTATAACCATTACCATTACCATTACAATTAAAATTATCATTACGTGTGTTGTTAACATTATCTTTGCCGTTAGTCTTACTATTTCCAATAAAATAACTATTACAATACCAATACCATTACTAATTAAGTTTGTCATTACCATTTCCAATATCATTTCCATTACTATTAGCATTATTATTACCACTACTATTATCATTGCCGTTAACATTGTATTTATCTTTGGCGCTATCATTACCTTTACCGTTATCAATAACGTTACCATTACTATTACTATTATCATTACTTTTGTCGTTACCATTACCAATGTCATTGCCATCACTATTACCACTACAATTACAACGAATATTATCATTACTTTTGCCGATGCCATTACCTTTATCATTACCATTACTACTACCATTACAACTAGTATTAGGAGTAAATTTTTCTTTTCCCCCAATTCTGGAATACCAGTTACGATGGAATACTGTGTATGGCCATGCGGGACAACATATATCTTGTACACCATGTAGATGATGTTACAGCAGCCATTACAGTGAGGTACATGGAGGAAGCCCAAAGGAAGCCAAATCAAATAATTCTGATCCTGCTAACAGAAAAACGTACCGCCCTCAAGGTTAATATGACTGAAGTTCCAGAGTACACACGAGTAAGCGGTGTGCTCAGGATATTAAAAGCGAGTATTATTAATGTCAGCCATGAACTCAATATTTCTATACGGAGAAGAGATATGAACTGGTGCGCTTAACAAGAAGCAGCACTAAAAGAAATTACTGTTAGTGCAAAAGACAGCCGCTCTACCTATAGCATCACCATGCCGGATAGTATCTATGGACGCAGTGTTAATAATCAGTTGAAAAATATCAGGCGACGTCTTCATTTCCCTCCAGGTTAAGAAAACGGGCAGAATAAGAATGAGAATGCGAACGTTAATGTCCCCATGAAGTGTCGCTAGGCAATAGCAATAGCGAAGTTAGAATTGAATAAGACTTTTTCGAGCTGTTCGGTATTAAATTTGGTTTCACACAACGTAACTCTCTACAGCTCGCCACTTTGTTGGACTGATCCGCTATTGCTGATTTCGCTTCAAAGCAATGACTGTTTGCTGGCTGACAGGACAATGGGGTGCAGTCAAGCCTCTGGGCAGTGCAGTCGTGAGGCAATACTCAGTTCCTATTCTTGCGTCCATATCACGCAACCTTTAAATAACTGTTTGTTGCAAGATGCGGTAATCACCGGCTTGAAACATTGCATCACGGCTAAAAGAGAGGTGGTTTCAGTAGTGTCCACCAGAGGCGCGGTTGCGTGCGAACGCCGTTGAAAACACGCCATGTAGAAACGGACTCGAATGAAAAGTATGGTCTTATAAACTGCATAGACATTATTTAAAGCTTAGGTAAAATCTGTAAGGAAGGAAATAAAGCGGAGTAGAAAGTTTTTTCCTATAAACTGAAGACAATTTTTTAACTAAAGTACGAGGTTGCTCCGGAAGTTGTCCTAGAGTTAATGCCGCTCCATACATAGACCAATAGGCCTATTGTGACACCGCTGAGACTCATCAACTCTGGTAGTAATCTTCTAAAAAATATTATTTTTGCAGGAGAATGACAAAGCGGAAGCTAAGAGACTTTGAATTTTTTATGTTTCTGATTCCAAACTTTTAGGACGACTTTTATTTTTCCGTGATTAATCGAATCGGCTAGTAGCGCGAGATATCATGCGGAAGACGGTGTCTTGAAATCCTGACCAACATTCAAAATCATAAAAAAGTGTTCTAAATTCGAACGCCTTCCGCCAGAAAATGTCAAGCTCTCCAAGTGTATTCTGGTTTCAAAAAAATATCCTCAAAAATATCATCAGCGATTAGAGGAGGCTTTTGAAAACTCGTAAGTACCTTCTTTAGCCGTAAAACCGGTCAGAAAGGAACAACAAATTGTAGGAGGAGCTCGGCTGCAAATCCAGATCACGCTCCTCTACAAATAAAAATTCTTTCATCCAATCCAACAAAGTGTATGTATTTGAGTAACACGGCCCCATCAACAGTCAAATCAGTGCCACAGCGTATCCACCTACATATTTATATATACACACACGCACAAATACACATACACACACATACAAACATGTAATAAGGTAAATAAGGTCATATGGCTTATAATGTGTAGAAGCTTTGAATGTGGCACACATACACACACACACCATAGCATGAGATGCACCATTATTGATAACTACTTACAAGTGCAAGCCAACAACAAATAGCCGAAGCAACTAAGCAGCAAATAGGCATACTGGTAAATAGCGGCACACTTGAGCCTCGGTGTCCGCATCACCCGAAGGATTAATTAATCTTGGTTACAAATTCGTGGAAATTTAATAATGAAACACATATTTCTAGGCAGATTTATGAGTAAAATCCAACGAGGACACATATATTTGTGCAATAGATATGCAAATTCACACATACATACATATTTACGTATGTACATATACTCATACATATACAAGCGCATATCGGATTGAGTGCAAGGTAAGATTTAATTACTTGCAGACCACAGCTGTGAGTCCTGCTAACTTGTGGTTGCGCACATACGTACACACATATGGGCATAAATAAGTTTATGATAGATGATTTCGTGATATGTAATTTAGCGTAACCTATTTGTATAAAATATGTGCATCAGCTTGTAGTTAGCTGATTATGAAATGATGTAGATAATTAATTATTTGCCAAGTGTGGCAACGAATAAATATATTTGATGAGAAAAATATTTTAAATTTAGGCAACGTGGTATACACGGCTTAAGCGCACATAAAGATCTCTTCGCAATGATAGAACCCTAAAAGGTGAAACAACAGCTACAGATATCGGCAGCCGATAAACACATTATCCATGGAAACCGCAAACAAAACCCTGCAATCAATGCCAACATCGCCGAAATCAGTGACACTTTCGTTGATTACGTATACGACGTGTACGCTCATCTGATAATCATGTCAAACATTTATGTATGTACATATTATTAATGCGGAAAACAAACGTATGACCACGAATATACGTACATACATAAGTAATAAATGCAGAACCAGAACTTTCATTTATAATTATGCACAAAAATATTTGCTTTAAGCAGCATACGGGGTACATTCCTTCAAAATTTGTAAGGATTTAGAAAAAAAATGACGCGATTTAAGCTGAACCAACCATCTTTTCTTCTTTTCGCAGTTCGCTTAAAACATCAAACTAAGCTAGATTTTTTACCATTTGATGCGTCCAAAGAAGTGCAGGTCTTCCTCTTCCGCTTACTACAGGAGGTGCTACACCGAGTAATCTGAAATTAGTTTCCGTAAATGTGGACGATTTTTCCATTGGTATTCACTATCGCTCATTCGAAAATGTTCAGCAAAAACATTCTTTAAGCCAGACTTAGCAGACTTTTGTTTGCTAGTTTTGGTACGCCAAAAGATGACTTCACTTTCAATTGCCTACTCAATCCGAAGTGACGCCTACTAGCAAAAGTAAGTCTTGGTTGAATTTCGAGACTGATGTTATTTTTTTTTTGCTATTGATGGTAGTTTCTATATACGACTTCAATGTTATTACCATCAACACTAACGTGGGGGCCAAGCTTATGCTTTACGAGCCCTAAAGTCAAAGCACACACAATGGGATTGCTAATAAAGTTACTAGCAGCTTAAAGTCTGTCGTCGTCGTCACTAGTCGGAACAAATTGGTCTCACCTCATTGGTTTCTCACATTATTACCACTATCCAGTAGCCCTCTCCTCGTTCTTAAAGTCCAATTCTCTACCGAAAAAGGTTCGTTTCTTGTGCGCGCCTCGCTGCTCTATATGGGATTGGTATGTTGGTACTTACGTTCCGTTCAATTTTTTATTTGAACACAGTCAAATTCGAAAACATTCTTACTTTTTCAGTGTCCCTTTAAAATCTGCTTTGAACGCATTCTTTTTTAGGCTGGAACTAAATTGCTCTAAGAAGTCGCGTTGTTGAAAAAGTTAGTTCCAATGTAAACCTAGTCGACGCTCTATCATTTCAATACCACTTTTAGGGTACAATTAATTTTTACCTTAAAGCAGCCTGAGTTTCAGCAAAAACCTCGTTTTTGAGAAAACTGTGTTATCACTGAGCATTCTTTGGAGCTTTCAAGCAGACAATAATTGCCTAGAGCGAATCGGATCATTACGAAGAGGGAGCAAACGAAGTTTTATTAATGAAGTTTGCTATTATTTTGGGTAACTTGAGCTATATATCTGAAGTTTTATGGCCAGTCTGTATACTTAGGCTTTTCAAGACATTGCTTTGTTTAAATGGCAGTTCTTCCCTGAAGAAGTGGTTTAGGCCTCCTAAATCCCGCGCCCTGCCACTCGGTAAGCGACACAGGCATCAGGTGCAATGAAATATCCCTTCATATAGGAAAGGGCAGTTGATGCTATCTTTACTCGCTCATACACATTGCACCTGTGTGGCAACGTGTTCAAAACAATTCCCATATACTTAGTATTGGGTCTGTAAAATAATCTCTGTGAGCTTCTGATGAACGAAGCTGAACTGCGTTATCATTGCTATGCAGTGTACTCAATTGTTTATTGCTCCAAATGACCATATTGTCAGAGATCCTAGGTTTTCAAATACTTACCGCTTACGATAGTCAAAATATCATCTCAACGAGCCACATTGGACAGTAATGCCTTTAAATATAATTTCAACAAATACTGAATTCTCAGCTCTAAGAAGGATGGCAGTTAATCAAAGTCTGGAGTTGTTATTAGGTCAAAGAAGTTTAAGTCTGTGTTCTAGTGAGATTACATACAGTGCTCTAATGAGTTCATATTGTGATCACTTTGAAGCAGAGTGGGCGAATCGAAAATGAGACATATAGATGGTGGAGTCGACATAGCGAAAACTATCTATTGAGACCAGGTCTACATTTTTCTACCTTTGGGGCTTAAGGTAAAGCATTTACGGTCAAGAAAGCTGCTGGTTTCCCTGCAGGGAAAAAGTAAACCAGTATGCAAAAATTCTAGTTAAATACTAGTATTTTGAAGACGAAATCATACCAGTTTATTTCAAAAAAAAAAATTATACCAGTATTTAAAGGGCAGAAAGATACTAGTTTGTCATAGACTAGAATTATACTAGTATTTTTTGTTAAAATGTAGAGAAATTTGCCAAAAATCTAGTACATGTTGTGTTCCTCAATTCATGGCCAAAATTAGTCGGTTGTCATATGACCACAACGCACCGAAGTGACAAAGACAGTCTCGTCGTTATCGATTTGAAAGAAGTAAATCCAAATCACGACTCCCAAGCCAAAGAACGCACCAGGAAATAAGTAAGTGCAGTGACCTCTCTTCAGTTATTTGAGAACTCGCGCATTCCCGTATATGATAATTTTGCTTATTAGCTTATCTTCCCCGTAAAAAATGTTGTTCAAAACACACAACCTCC